GATTAATGACTTCTTTGCAGATACCCACCCCTAATTTCTGCTCTGTTTCTCTTGCGACCTCCATACTGCTGCTATGTTCTGGCTACCCTGAGAGCTCTCATTTGATTGGTTTAGGAACCAGGCTGTAAACACGGGCTACACGCACTGAACCAACACTGTTCTGCTCCATAACTCAAAGTTTCAAAGGAGAAAATCTTGACTAAGATGTTGTTAATTGAGAGGAAAGCTTGTTTACAGGAAATTTTAAGTCCATCCTGGGTGACAATTTAGAATCACATTTTTCTCCTCTAAACAAAGAAAACGTAGATTTTGTTAAGAGTCCTGCTTTCTTCTTCTTATTTTTATTTTTTACTATTTTTTATTTTTTAAACTATTTATTTGATCTTTACTTGAACTAGTTTCATCTTAAAATATTAAATAAGGAAACCCGAATGTGACCAAATTTTATCTACAAAGACAAAGATACCTGAAAGGAGACCATTTGGACAGGGATCTTTTTTTTTCCATTTGTGGAAGGACTGCAGGACTGATTTAGGAACCATTTTATTTGAAAACATATTACAGAACCTTTGCAGCGCGGCGATAAACAGGCGTCCTGTCTGACTAGTGCTGCTAAATTGGGCTTTAGGGCGGATGCTTTCTTTCACCTTTTGATGGGAAGAGAGCGGCTCTTTAATGGCTCACCAAGCGGAGCGGATGTTGAGTGCGATTATGCAATTATCCAGGAGCTTAGCAGGTGCTGCAAGCAGAGCCACGTGGAAGCCTGGACAAACCCAGAGGAAGGAGCTGAGAATCAAGCTCTTCTCTTTTTGTTCAGAAGTGCCGATCAGGTCCCCACAGACCATCAGCGCTCGTTGACAGTAGAGGCTCAGCCACACAGAGGGAGATGAAGTGCCTCTGGCGGTAAACCCAGCCTTTACATTCCCCGGATTCCAAACTGACTCAACATCTGGGAAAGCAGAATATGAAAGGATTCCGACGTGAGGAGCTCCAAGCTGCTCGCCCAAACAGGCCCCAAAGATTTCTAGGAGGCAAAGTAGGATTAGCTTTCTCTCTCTTCTGTCTAAACTCCATTTTCTCTTTCTTCCTTTTACAGATAGAGATGTCTGGATTCTGTCAGCTGAACATCAGAGTTCTAACCGAAAGGAGCTGGACCGAACCCAAACCACCATAAAAGAGAAGTCCGTCTATCACTCTGGGGATGAAAACTCACCCTCCCATCTTGTACGCCCCGACTCCTCCTTGCCAAGCACGGACAAACCCTGGATCCGCAAGCAGAGAAACTGGGTTGAAGGTCCCCGTGGCGAAGTACGGTCCAACAGGCCCAATGATGACAAAGATCATCGCCTTCCCGGGTCGAGACACACCGAGAGACGGCTGGACGGGGAGGCAACAGTAATAGGAGCAGGAAATCATTACAAAATATGAGAGTTTCAGAAATATTGAAGTAGCGCTGAGATCATCAGGCCCAAACTCACCTCAGTTCCTATAAAGGTGGGTCGGATATAGAGGCTGGCGTCCTGGGAGAAAGGAACCCAGTCCTTGTCCAGCTCCACCAGCTTCTTAATGCACTCCAGCAGTTCGACTTTATCAAACAGCTAGAAAACAAACCAGAGATCACCTTTAAGGTCCAAAAAACATTTTCCTTTTAAACACACATTACTTATCAGACGTTTCACAGGGCCTATGCTGACGAATACGATAATGTTCTGAAACATGTTCTTTTAAAATTATTTTTTAATCCCATACACACCTTTTTTTCTATGCTTTTTAACAAGGTGGCCCAGTGCAATGCATGGTAGCCTGATCGAAAATGGAATCTAGAAATTTGGAATTACATCTGCGACCAGTTGACGGCAATAATACATGAAATTTGTAAACTGCCAAAAAACGCTATAGAAGAAGAAGAACGAGCTCTATGCCCTGCTCCACTACTTCCTGAACTTCAGCAGCTCCTTTCTGTCCTGTCTTTCATTACTGAACAGACTGATTCATCCAGGCGTCTGTCCTCTGTGTTTTCTTCTAGAGGGTAATCTAGAGGGGTGAATCAGGTTTTGCAGCAGTGCAATGCTGCCAGTAGCCTTCAGTGGTGCTAAACCTTGGAAGCTGCAAGTCTAGCGATCCTCGTGGCTAAAAGTTGCACATTGTTGCTTTAACTGTAACTAGAGGTAATAAGTGGTTGGAGTTGAGTCAGCCTCAGCTCCCTGCCGGGTGACCCAGCATTTCTTTGTCTGCAGAGACAGACTGAGATAAATCAGGCGAGTGGGTTTTCAGTGTTCCTACAGCATAAGGCAAGTTAAATTCAAGACTTTTTAAGACTTTTTAAGGACCCGCGGGAACCCTGGTTTTTATCCAACAGGGCAGCGGTCTTTTGGAAGGAGGCCTTTTTATTTTTAGCAGTCCTAAAATCTTTCAGTGCTGTTGCAGCTCTGATTAATGACATATGGGCTGATAAGGAGCTGCATTAGCAGCACATTTGGGGTTCAAACTCACAGGCAGGCAGCTCCTCTCCGCGCTCCGATGCATCCTCTCCATGTTCAGCATCGGTCTGAACAGACGGATGTGGTCGTCGACTCCACGGAAGGCCTTCATGCCTTCAAACAGCTACAATAGAAAAAAAAATTTTTTTTATAATGTTAAATGTGAGGAAGCAAACACAGGAAGTGTGGGGAGTGCGTAATTAATCCATCAATCCTCACTTAACTGCACAGTAAACAGTTGCTGCATTAAATAACAGAGGGTTCAGCTATTTGTTCTTTTTCTTTACCTCTACTGAATAGTGCAGGGCGGAGGAGGCTGGGTGCAGAGACAAGTTCTGGAAGGGTTTGATCTTTGGAGCTTCCCAGCCGTCCGCCTCCGACCAGTTGATTGTCAGCATGTGGTCGGAGAACTGCTTGCCGAACATCAGAGTGGACGGGTCGGGCTTCGGCTTGCATTTCGGGTTGCGTTCGATGGTGAGATCTGCTGCCTGCGGCGGAACCGGAGAACCAGAGGAAGGAGGAAGGGAGAAGAACAGAACAGAGCAGGCCACGAATACAGTGATTGTTTTCAAACCGGGTATTGATTAAGCATGCTTAAATAAAATAAAAAAAAAAAAAATATTGGAGTAATAGTTCTGTTTCTTTTTTTTAATCAGGTTCAATTAAACTGAATTAAAAAAAAAAATTTAAACAAGGAAAGAGTGAGAAAAGGCGAGAGAAGGAAATTGGTTATCCATGAGAGGAAACCTTTTTTTTTAAACAAAAATCTAAAAAAAAAAAAAATTCAATGAACAAAGCATGTGCAGGTCTTACCCGACAAGTTCCCTACTTACCTTAAAGGAGCTGGCAAATCGCAGGGAGCCAAAGGAGAAGGGGAGAGTCTGAACAAGTCGTGCATGGAGCGCCTGGTAAAGCAAACAACATCTCAGTTATCTGGAGGCTAAGAATAAAAATAACGTTTCACCAGGTGACTTGCTTCCTTCTCATTAAGCTATAGTGAACAAACACATCGGCTGCACTGTGTCTGTGGGAGTGTGTGCCTGAGCACCAATCAGTTTATCTGATAGTCACGGTATGCCTCTCCCGACACTCGGCAGCAGGACACCAGACTGGAATAGAAACACGAGGCCAAACCTGCACAATGAATTAAAGTTAGATGCACCCTTAACCCCACACTGCACCGAAAAACGGCAGCCCACTGCTTCCCAAGGAGACGGGTTTAATGCAGAGGAAAATTTCTCTAATGCGAGATCAATAAAGTTAAATTATTATTAGGGATGCACGATATTGGGATTTTGGCCGATATCCGATATGCCGATATTTTAAAACTCATGTAGCCGATAACCGATATCGATACCGATGTTGAAGCTGGACAAAAATAAGTAGTCATTGAAAATAGCAGTTTTGTTATCCATTTCTGACACTTTGAAAAAATAATATACTCAGATATATTTTCATATGCTGATATCAAATAGATTTTTAAAAACGCGGTATCGATCTATTTTACTTTCAAAATCTTGTGAAATTTCATCGTTCTGTTACAAACTCTCGTGATATTTTGCAAATTCTTGTGAGATTTTGTTAGTAAAATAGATCGATACCGCGTCAATATATCAACATATAAAAATATGGCAAAATTTCGTGAATTTTCGGGGAATTTCGTAGCATAACGATGAGATATAGCAATATTTCATTAGTAAAAGAGATTGATATGGTGTTTTTAAATGGAAATATATCACCATATGAAGATAGAAGTTTTTAAGTCTGTACAAAAGGAGTTTTTGAGGAAGTAGTATTTTTTTTTTTTTTTTTTTTAGACTTTAGAAACTCAGAAGCTGATCAAATATCGGGTTAAATATCGGTGGGGTGGCCGATGTCCGATATTCAGTTTTAAGGCCGATACAGGCCGATACCGATAGGGGGCCGATTATATCGTGCATCCCTAATTATTATAATTAAAATTAGACCTGCAAAACAAGATAAAACAGCAACATCTGCTGTTCTGGAAAACCACAACATAGAAGTGCAGAGAAATAGATAATCTGTGGTCAGAGAATCAGGACTGATCTTTGGAAGTAATTACAACAACTTTCAGTTCCTTTTCTGCCACATAATAACCTGCAGGGTGTTTACATAGTTAGTCAATATTTAGTTCTTGTAAAACAGGTTCTGTCAGTATTGATTTACTTTTGCAACTCTTGTGGAGGTTGGCAATAATCTACCTGAACAGACCTCTAAACACAAGAAGGTCAGAATCAACTATAAACTATGACCAGGATTAAGAGCCAAAACAAAGGAGCTTTTTGTTATAAGATCCAACTGAAGGGAAACTGGAGACGCTGATAAAGAAACACCATACAGGGAAACGCCTGCAGAGAAAGGAGAAAAGAACAGTGGACCTGCTCTGATGGATCACATTCAGAAGTCCTTCATGATTTCTTCTCACATTTAGATCCTTTTACAAACAAACTGAATGGGAATAAAAAAAAAAGATGGGTGGATGGTGGAGGAAAGGGTTAGGGATGTCTTGCAACATTTGCTAACATGCTAATATTTACCCAATACGATATTAGAATCAATCATATGAACTTTAATTACTTATTTCTTAGCCTGGAATCTTAGAAAAAAGTTCTATAAAGGGAAATAACCGAGTTAGTCTAGCCTCGCTGCCATGACTACAGCTGGTGTAAGATGATGCTGCATGATTTTTAACATCTGCAGGTAAATAAGGTCATAACTCTGGTATGTGCTAACTTACACCACTTAGCATCATTTATTGGCTTCCTATTCAGCTTTGAATCTATTTTAAAGTTATTTTGTGTGATTTTGAGTCTTTACATGATCTTAACCTTTTTTATTTGTCAGAATTGCACATTTATATTCCATCACATGCTCTTGGATCTTTACTTTAGGCACTCCCAAATACCTCTGCAGCTCTGACTCCTATATAGTGAAATAAGTTGCTAATGAGGGTCGATAAGGTCCTTTATCTCTTTTCTGTCTTTAAAAAAAACACATTTTTCCTCTGGCTTTAATCCCAAAATGAGTTAACGTCTGTATTTTAATGTGCCACTCTTTCCTTCTGTTTGGGATGTGTTGATTACCATTTATCAATACTTTACTTACCGTTTTATATATTTGTCAATCACTTTGGGCTGCTGCTGTGTTTAAAGCGCCGCAGAAATAAACATGGTGTGGTACCCAAACAGAACTATAGCCAATAATAGGTGTGAGGTCACCATACCCATTTATTAACCAATGGGTTAAATAAACTTTAAACACAAGCAGCGTTTCTATCAGCTTGCTTATATTGGAGATTTTATATGCAGACTGATAAATTCCAATATTTGTTTCTTTTGGCTGATATCAAAGAGATTTCCAATGTCCGATTGCGGCCATCACTATAAAAATTTGCCCCCTAAAAGAAGAATAAAATTACTGAATACATCAGTTTTTAAACCAGATAGGGGATTTTTGTTATATCATTTATTTAAAAAATATATTTTTAGTGCTATATTTTCTTTAACGATACCCATTTGTACCAGAGAAATTGTTTAAACTTGCTTTAAATGTTTTGATAAACCAGTATTAGAGATTGGACCAAGTTTACCAATCAAAGTTTTGTGCAAAGATCCACTTGTAACTTGATAAAGTAGACAGATTCTTAAGGTTTGAACAAATGAAGCTGATCCATAGAAGACACACTTTGCACCTTTCAGGACTTGAATCAGCAGCAGACATGGATGTGTTATAAATGGAATAAGTTTTTTTCTCTTTCTGCCTCCTGCACTGACATTTTACACCAAGCTATATTTCTTTTCTCCCTTTTTGCAAATTCTGGAAAGGAAAACTATGCTCAATTATTTGAATATATATACAAAAAACAAGGTTGCAGAAAGGGAAAGCATGTCAACATTCTAAACAAATAAATTTTAACCATGCATAAGAAGCACATCAGCCTAAATCAAATAAAACTTTTTTTAAAATTTATAGTTTAGCAACACCTCTATGTTGTAGTGTCCAAAAAGAAAGTACACGTTTTCAATCCATATGGGGTCTAAAGTTGCGCCAATATAAAAATACCTTATTTCTTACATTAAAGTTATAAAAACGAACGCCACACGTAAGCCGAATTTGTCGTCTACCCTTTAGAGTTCATATTCCAACTTTTCTTGGTTGCTGAAGATTTTAACTTTTAGGAGAAACTTTATTTCAATCTTTCATGAAGGAAGTCTGGTGAGCGGTTCTTTCCCCGCAGACAGAGCTGAGGAGTCGGACCCCTGGCGGGAGCCAGTCAGATCTACTGTAACCGCTTTCTTTTTTCCTCAGTGTAGCCTGGTTAAATATTGTTCAACCACTGCAATCTGGACCAACAGATAAGGGCCACATCAGCCAGTGAAGTCACTCACCGTCCGGAGGGCTGCCATCTCCTCTGCGCTGATAAGCCGAGATTATTCGTCCGTGTGGAAACAAATAAAACTCCAACTCTGTTCCGCTCAGCCAGCCGCACAAAGCCGATTTATAAACAGCTTATTATATTTAAACAGTTATTCAGTAATCGTGTTGTATAATATATTACAGTTTTAATTTTGCAGTTTAATAATTAAAAAACATATTAGATGTGCTGATTAAATACAACAAAACATGAGTTTTCCAATGGCATTCAGGAAGTTATTGGAGGCGTGACAAAAGCCTGGAATCTGATTGGCTCAGAAAAACAAAGGTTACTGTAGGTCAAGCTGCTTGGTGTGGATTGGTGTCTCAAGAGGGGAGTGGTGTGGGTCCTGTTACAGTTGACCTGGATACCTAAACATGCCTTAACCACGGAAAATGCCTAAATTATTTTCTTTTCCCACTAGAGCACAAACATGTTTGTTCTAATTTTATCATAAGGTGGGTTGTCATACTGTCAGCATCTGAATCAATCTGCTGACACCATGAAGGTTCACAGACCCTCAGGTTGGGATCTGACTCTTGAAGCCATAATTGAGTTCAGCTCCTCCACTGAGCAGCAGGTCGATGCCTGTGCAAAACGAAGCGTCTGCAGCCAGAAACACAGCAGCAAGTCCACATTCGGCCTCCGTCCCCATCCGACCCATCAGCTGTTGGAGAGGAAAACACAAGAAAGAGCTTGAACAAGGCCACATTGTGTGTTTGGAACAACGCAGCTGTTCCCACAGTTGCTGCAAAGCTGTAAAATCTGCTTAAATAGCTTATATTTAAAATGCCTCTCGACTTATACCACATAACGTAACATAAAAAGTAAACTTTATCAGGCTGTGATAGAAAAACAGCCGTTGGAAATAAATCAATACAATGTTTTGCAAAACTATCTATATTGCTTGACTTTTTCCATGTTTTGTTGCATAACAACCACACATTTCATTCTATTTTACTGAGATATATGTAACTGAGTGAAGGAAAACAGCCTCTAAATAATAAATTTAAACTACTAGTTCCATGATACTGAAAGCAAAAGTTGATTCGGAGTTTATTTAAGCATATCAGAGTAAAGATGGGCTACAAAAACAAATGCAATTTTACTTTTCTATTTCCATCATATTTTGAAAACTCTTGTACTCTTCCCACTTCTTAGATGTTGATGTCTGTGTCAGATAAAAATCTGTGTTTGCAGACAAAGATTCAAGGCGTAAAAAGTCTTTGGGAAAATAAAGCAAAGTATAAATAACAACAGATCTAACTCACTAGGAAAAAAAGAAAAAAAAAACTATAGGGATGAAACATCTGATCATCAAGTTGTTCTATTTTCAGTTAAAACAATGATCAACTAGTTTCCTCAGATGCTTGTCTAATTAGCATTTCAACATTCCAGACTTGGTGACTTATTCCCTGCTGGTCCTAAGAATAAAGGTGTTCCTTCTACAACATAACTGACCGGTTGTAATGAAGCCATTTGCCTCGTTAACAAAACAACAGAAAAGAGCAGGAGTGTTTTGCTAATGCACTTGAGCTGTTACTTTGTAAGACCAGAAACAGCTGGAGGCTTTTCACAAGGCAAACCAGGTCACCACACCAAAGCCCTGAATGCTGATCTTCAATGAACGACCCCCAACGCTTCAAACATTCTCCAGGCCTCACCTGCGCATTTTCCCCCGCCCGGATGGTAGCTTCAGCGTCAGCCGTCTGGGCTGCAAGTTCTTCCCACAGAGGAGTCAACACGTTCCCTGGAGAGATGCTGCAGCACATGTCCGACACTCATTGATACCCAAACTAATTAATACTTCTATAGTTTCTTTTTCAGCATAGATTTTTGTAAATGCATAAATGTTTTCTAAACTTCTGTGAAACGATTTGCTATAAAGATGGCTTCAATGATGACAGAGTGTCCGTGGATGTGTTTATCATCAAGTATGTGCAACAAAATGGTGTCCCCACCAGTGTAGAGCTTGCTTAACAATGGCAGCAAGCTACTAAAGGCATCTTCACACCCAGTTAAGTGAAGATTTTTGGAAATATTCTTGGCTAAGAGGGTCAGCAGTAGAGACAACTTTGCCTCTGAAAGTAAAAGACCAAGATTAGGAGGAACAAACACAGACAATAAAAAACTAAACTTTTACTTTCTGATGAATTCAATATTGAGTAGAGGGAAGAAATTATGAGTACAGTAAAGCATCCTGATAGATTCTCTTTGTGGGGCTCCATATTATCCCTGGGAAGGTGCTCCCCTAAGAGCACAGACACGAGGACAGGGAGCAAAACATCCTACAAAAGACACAACTGCAAGCAATTCAGGAATGGTTTAGTGCAGATTTGTGTTTTTTTTTTTTTTTACATTTAATATAGCAAAAGAAATCACCTGGTTCAAAACATAAACCTGCTGGTCTGGTAAAAGGTTACATCTCCGGATAATTAAAGGTCACTTTTAGGAACTTCTAGCCGTCTAGAATTTCTTCTCTTTGGAGCTCAGAAGTTACTCCTGGGAATTACTTTCGGGAACATACATGTAACTTTCCACAAGCTTACAGGTTATGTCTTTAGAGGCTAAAGGTTACAGAAACTTAAAGTTTAACCTCAATCTCTCCTTCCTAAAAAAGCATGAAAATATGCACAAGTATATAAAGCTCAAGAAATGATCTGTTGGTCAGTGTTAAATAGAAATGGATTAGGACTCAAAAAGCTAAAGAATAAAAACTTGTTGATTTGACCGGATTTTGTTTAACTTTTTCTGCTTTGACTGAGTGATTACATCTGGAATAATGTTTTGCTCACCAGTTTACTCTCACATTGTGTCCACTCTCATCCACAGCCATAGCCTTTGTCATGGAAATGATTGCCCCCTTGTGGAGAAGAAGTTGCATTACAGAACAGCCATATGCATTTGTGAGTTTCTGATTCTTTCTGTACTTACTTTGGTTGCAACATAAGGTGCAGCATCTTTCTGACCTATGGTGGCTACTAGACTGGAGACATTAATGATGTTTCCCTGACGTTGACGTAGATATGGTAATGCAAGCTGCAGGGAGAGGGAGATAAAAACATATTTCCAGTTATGTTTTTTGCTCTTACGAAATAAAACAAATCTAGAATAGATTATATGGAACATATAAGTAGGTAACATAACAGTTTCCACTCCTCTGATGATTCTTTCGATTTCACATCAAGGTTTAAATCAACATATCTTTGCAAATGATTACTTTTTTTACGGAAGAGGATTAGGGCCACTTAAAAAAAAAAGGTTTTGAAATTTTATTTCTGTATAATATGAGAAAAAAGTCAGAATTCTGACCCTATCTCAGAATTATGACTTTAATCTGAGAATTGTGATTTTAATCTCAGAATTCTGAATTTTTTCTCAGAATTCTGAATTCAATCTCAGAATTATGACTGAATTCTGACAGCTAACAAACTTGTTAGCATCAAGCCGTAGTCATGTCTGCTTTAGAGATTGAACCAGCTCTCTTGTTTTAATCACCTTCTGCTTTTCCATCAATGAAATGGCATCACTGGAGACCCCTTGAGCACGTAAAAAGTCGCCTAATTCCTTAATTTTCCACCAATGTGTCACTGGCCCTCCCAAACAACTCACATCTTTGTCAGTGAAGCTGAGTGCTCCCACACCTCTTCCTTCATGGTGCCCATCTACATTAAGATCCACAATTCTGAGATTAAAGTCAGAATGTGAGAAAAAAGTCAGAATTCTGAGATTACAGTCAGAATTCTGACTCTTTTCTCATACACTTAAATATAATTTAAAAATCAGTTAACTTTTTTTATTTCTTCAGTGGCCCTAATCCTCTTCCGTACTTTTTCTTTAACATTTGTGTTAAAAAAAAGCAAAATAAATAAAAAATAAATAATAAAAAATTGTGGACACTCATAAAAGCTTACTTTGGAAGCTAGGAAGTAGCTGATGAGGTTCAGATTCAGGAGATCCCTGAACTCCTCTGCTGTGATTTCATCAGTCGGTTTGTGAGGAGGGTCTGACATGAAAGAAAAAAAAAAAAAAAAGGAAAGAAAAACTCCAACATTAGTCGCTGTATCTCGATACCGTTATGACAGCTGCTGAATGAGGAGACTTACGCCAGCCTGCGTTGTTCACCAAACAGTCGATGTGTCCATAAAGCTCCACGGTGGCTGTAATTAATTGCTGAAAAGACAAAGAAAAATACTGATCAAAACCGGGGATTTCCAGATTTATGGTCATTTTCCCAGGATCCAATTCTAACTCACTGAACATTTATTGTCAGTCTTAATATTTATGTTTTGATATTTTTTTTCAATCTTTTATGCAGAATAATCAACACTGACCTGTAAAGAAAAAATAAAAAAGCATTTGATTTGAGTTCAATATATTTAGAAATGAAAATTATCATGTTATGTACCTCACAGTCATTGATATGTCTATAATATTTATAGAGTTAAAGTGAATGAAGCATGCCATTCAAATAAGCTCAAGTAAAAGGGTCTTTTAAGCTAAATGTTTAAGAAAAAAGAGGCATCTTAGGGATATCGAGTCTCCATAGCAACCATTAGATGCTAGCTGCATGTTAATTGGTTGTTTTTAGAGCAAAAAGCTGGCATCACAAACTCACATGGAGTTTGCTCAACTTTGCTAGTATTTTGTAAGGAAGCTGTTTGGCGCCAAAACACTCAAACAGGACTTTTGGTGAAACAAAGTTTCAACAATCACTTGATTCCCAATGTAAGGCATGGTAGAGGACTATGATACTGTGGGCCTGTTTCTCCAACAAAGGCTTTGAGAGGAGATAGCAGTATCACTCTGATAGGGCAGGAAATTATAAATAAAGATCATATGGCCTTAAAGAGAATGTTGGACTAATTAACCTCCCTCCATGATCACAAAAGTCTCAAGACAGTGATAATTAATAACAACAACATAATAATAAAGGTTTATTGATCTCGCACTGGAGAAATTTTGCTCTGCATTTGACCCATCCCCTTGGGGAGCAGTGGGCTGCCACTGTGCGGCGCCTGGGAAGCAGTGTGGAGTTAAGGGGTCTAGCTTAGAGACCCAGAGTGGAGGCTGTGGGGATCTAACCGGGTAGAGACTGACACGGGAGTGGATTTTCACTCCTGTCC